CCTCTGTGTCCTCGTCCTCCACCACTATAATTTAATTTATTAATAAGACCAACTACGAGTAGTAGATATATATACTATAGTTGTTGTTTAGTTTATTATATATATATATATATATATATATATATATATATATACCATCAACATTAGAAATGGCACAAAAGTTGCTGTTTAAGAGTTATATTTAAAAGTCTGTGAACAAACGTTTTGTATTCAGTGGGTTATTTTTATTGTTAAACTGTTTATTAAGGTATGTGTATTCAGTTTTGTTTTCTATTTTGAACATTTTACAGTTTTGTTGGGAAGATAAAGTATTTGCTGCCAGATTTGTTTTTACACTTACACCTTTGTGTTTCTTTTATATTAACACTTTCGAGATGGGTCACGGGTGAAAGGCCATGTCATCTCATTTGTTGACTCACATTCAAAAATTTATTGAACTACTATTTCATGAATTTACGTCAGTAAGTTTGGAATCAAACTGTAGATTATAATTCAAATGTTAGTACTATATATTACTCAATTTCTTAATTTAAAAACAAATATAAAAAAAACAGATGAACATAGATTTTTGTGTGTCACATGGTATGTTTAATGCAGCAGTGGTACAAATCAGATGTTTGTGAAGTCAAAATACTAAGTCTGTAGTTTCGAACAAATTAGAAACTCAAATTACCGATATTGACAAGCTAGAATATAAAATAAGAATGACTTTTCAATTTGCTGAGATATTGCTCATGTAATAAATCAAACACAGTAGCACCCTACCCACCTCTTTCCATTTTTGTAAATGCTCCCTTATATACACTTACTTCTATATATTATATGAATAACCAATTGGAAGTTCAGAGTGTCCACCTAGTGGCTTTCTCAGCCATCTTAAAGGACTTGGACATAATTACTTTCTTTTGAACCAATATTTCAATGAGCTAGGGAGTGTCTTTAATCTGCTCGAAATTTCATATTTTTTTATACTAAAATACATCTTAGTTACTAAGCTCTATAAATTGCAGTGGAATTCTATGGTATTAATGTAGTAATTTATTATTTTTTAGTTATTCAAATGTATATATATAAAACCTAAAAAAAAAAAAATAAGTTTGTTTCATATCCTCCGCGTGCACAATTTTTAAAGGCTTAGCAACTTACATCAAGCAGCAACTGAGTACAAAAGTTG